CTTATTTCCATTTTTAATGTGCAGCATTTTGGTAAGGAGATCATAGCGAAGGAGCTTCAAGTGGATGAAGAGCATCCAGATGTGCACCGATTGTTTCTTGTGATTTATAAGAGCTTCATGGAGGTAGTTTGCATATTCCTAAGAAAAAATGCTTCATTTATTTATTTTTGAACAGTTTTCTGTTTCCTCATGTATTGGATAAATTATTAGTGATGTTGTTTGCTGTACGAGCACCAGTGTTAGTCTAGTGAACTGTTGATTTCTTGGGTAAGATAAGATTTTTGCCAAAATGAGGTTGCAATAGAAAAACTCGGCCAAAGCTTATTCGTTCCCGAACTATCAGTTTATTGAGTTCCGTGACATCTCTGGTGCAATCTTGTCTAAAATTTAGTCTCCTAAAATTGTTCTGGATCGTGTAATTTAATTGAAATGTTGATGATTGATGCACAATGTACTATCTACGAGGAAGAGCATCTCAAGTTGCAACAGAAGTTGGAAGATTCTGCGTTGCAATACATTATTGTGTATGCCTGTAGCACCCAATAACGTCAAATATTTTGGGATTAACTTGTACCTGCTTATAAAATCCCAGTGTATATCTGGCGAAGTCTTCATTTTTTAGACCGTACCTCTCTTTAACTATGCATTAAAAATTTTCTCTGACCATTAGATAATTGAAATTCGCAAGCTTTCCATTGCTTCATCGGACTAGTCACGTTTTACATATTGATAACAGGCAATTGATGCCGTTGACAATGGAATCAATCGGTACGATACCGACCAGCCCCCAAGATATGTGAACAATACACACTTGTCTTCACGTGTTGGAAAACTGAATTTGGATTGGATAGATCCTGATCAGTCTTCTGAGAAGGAAAATCAGGCCTTTGCAAGAGCAATGGCTCTTGCTGGGGGAGAGTTTTTGGATGTAAGTTCATTCAACCACTATTATTTTCTTATTTATGCATTATTAACTTCTATTCTGGAAGCTGGTTTATCTGAATGTTCAGTTTTTAGATAAACAAAATGACTTTGAATTCTTTTAACCTTGAGGTCATTTTTTATAAAGTTGTAAAAATGATGGCATGACTTCTGTTTTGATTGTAATGTGAAGGATTAGTTTGTTAGAATTAGAACTTATGACCATCAATACTCTTATTGTAGAATGTGCGAAGTCATGCAAGATCATGGCTACCGGCTCGTTCAATTGTGATTGAGTGTCTTGAAACGAGGCTGGATGTTGATCCCAGTGGAGAAATTATGGTCCTCAACAAATTTTGCCCGGTGAATCTTTTTTCTTTCCCTTAAATCTTTTTCCTGAGGAATTTAAAGTTCACTTATTTTACCTCCCTAGTATTTATTATGCTATCTTATCTCAACAGTGGAAGCTTCACTTGTTCGAGCTTGAGGAAGAGTTGAAGATTAACCCACCTATCAAATATGTGATTTACCAGGTAAAAATCATTCAAATATTCTGCATCTACTCTCCTTCACACTCACCATGCAGTCATGTAAAGCTCATCAATGTGGTCCCGTGAAAATGTTTTCAGGATGAACGGAGCAAAAGTTGGCGAGTCCAGGCAGTGGCTATAGCACCCGATAGATTTGAGAGCCGAAAATCGCTCCCTGCCCAGTGGTGTGGTCTGAGGGATGATGAGCTGTCCAAGGAGTCGGGAATTCCTGATGGGGTTTTTGTGCACATGAGCGGATTCATTGGTGGGAATAGAACGTTCGAGGGTGCACTTGCAATGGCTAAAGCTGCACTCAGAC